ACATTCTAGAAGAGATTTTCTGGTTTCTTTCATTTCAGCCACTTTCCAGTTGCTATATTTAAAAAGATATATATTTATAGTTATGCTAAATGTTGGACTAATTTAGATTAGACGGTAAATTATCTAATGCACAAAAAACCACTGATCAATGTACGTATACTGTGATTCATTCGAAGTTGAGTTACGTCTTTATAAATGTCGTTTCTTATTTCCACGTGCGATGATAATGCAAGTTACCTGACAAAGTTGTCATCGTTCATGATAATTCATACCCAGTATGTACATGAAAATTATGCACTTTTGCCTTTGTGATTTATGGTGGCATGCATTTTGCATATAATATATACAGTGACTCATCATTGAACATTCTGCAGGATTTTTCACCTTTATATCGACTTCTAATATGCAAGATTGATTCGATTCCAGACGAAACTAACTTTTGAGACCAAATATGTAAATCATATGATGTGTTACTAATAAAAAATAAACACGTTAATTAATATTTAAATTATTATCCAATCATCAATATTTACATCATCTAATTTACAAATTATAATTTAAATAGATTCTCTTTCTAGCATTATCCATGCCAAAATACAAATGAACACCGCCTATTCCTATTCTATGCGATACAGCTGCAAACTTAAACGACAAACCAAAGATATAAAAAGAAGACCAAATGACATACCACCTAAACCCTAAACGACAAACCAAAGATAAAAAAGGAAGACCAAACGACGTAGCACCTAACCCTAAACACCGAACCCCTCACTTTTTCGAAAGATTTTTCAGTATGACCGGCACACGAAGTGATACACTACATGTCCTTATACAAATGGTGGAATTTCTTTGTTAAAAAGTTAATAACTTTAAAAATAAAATTTTTCATCACTTACATAAAAACACATAAAAAATTTCTCCACTTTTTCCGTGTTTGGTTCATTCCTTTGACAGATGGAAGGACAAAAAAGGAGTAAACTAAAATATCTTGTTAGGGCGAAAGTAAGCAACTCTTAGAAAGATTATATATGTGTATATAATTAACTCGCGTGCTAAGCAGCATCGACTAGGAGTATAACAAGAAGGAGCAAGACTTTCTAAATTTTAACATAATTAGCTGATTCCACGTTGGTCCCAAAACGCTAACCGAAGTTTTATCACATTTCTAGAGCACCTCTTGCAAAAGTATAAAACTCAATTTTTTTTTTTTTTTTCCTCTCACTTTGTATGTGAATTCTATCCTCTGTTTTCTTCGTTTTGTGGTAGTGTAAATTCTTGTGAAGGTAAGGCTATGTAGGCACTGCTGATCATCACATTCTCCCGTCGATTATTAATATATATATATATATATTTTTTTTTTTTTTTGCGTGGCTTTGTATTCATATATGGCTAATTTGGAAAATATTGCGACGGCGACTGCATGCAAATAAGATTCCAAACCATGGGCTCCCACTATGAAATTGCAACGCAGCAATGCATGACTCTAAATTTCTGGTCCTGCATCCATAATTTACGTGCCACAGAATTTTTGTGGTCTTCCTGATTTATATTGTGACTGTATCTGGACCAAGACGGACCTCAACAGAAATTCAAATGTGAGGTCGTGGTCCATTTTTAATCGGCTATTTCACAACGGCATCTTCACGTGGATAAATACATTAAAAGTACGGTTAAAAAGAAAAAACAGAACGCCTTACGACGTGACTAGTCAAGGCACTCTTACAATGGGTTTTCTTGTATTTGGAATTTGGACAGCATTTGATCTCACAAAATTACAATCCAGAATACACAAATCCCACTCTTTGTGAGAGACCTAATCAATCACATGATCAGACTAGCCTACTAAATTTTTTCTTGTCTTGCTTAGTAAGTTTGGAGTTAATATTATACTCATGAAGTAAGAAATCAAGAAGAAAGAAGAAAGGAAGAGAGAGTAGATCTGAGAGGAAAGTTATAACTTGCCATTTCTTGTACGCTACAGATAATCCACATAATCCAAACTCCAGACTCCAAACTAAGAAGGGTTAAATGTGAAGAAAAAAAATGTAACAGAACTATAAAAGGAGGCCAGCAGAGGGGTTCTTATAATCTCCTCCTTTTTTAGCTGACGGGTTGGACAACACTTAAAACCAGAGAAACCATGAGTCCCTAACATCATTTGAAAGAGTGGAATCAAATCATCAGCCGCTAATGTAGAAATGTTTCCAACAAAGCGTCACACGTTTCTAGGAAGATAGAACAAAACTGAAACACTTTCAAACCCTAGAGATTAACGATTGGACATTCATCAAGTTCTGTAAGATCTCTACTTTCCTCGTAGTGTATTGCTTAAATAAAAAGTCAGCAATACACTTTATACATTTGATTCATTTTTGTTAAGGTTGTCCAATTGGTGAATCCTGCCCATATGTTATTTCCTATGTTTTTTGTTGTTCGAAGTAAATTGAAGATACATTGACAAAAAACAATTAATTGAAGATACAGTAAAATTTCAATTAAAAAAAACCAGTAAAATAAATAACTCTAGGAAAACAAAAATCAGCAATGCAACAGTAATCAAATTTATGCAGTAAATTTGTTCACTGCATGATGTGCCATTGCTTTATTTGTTAATAACAAGTAAAGTTTAAATTCGCCTCATATTTAAATTAATAAAACACTATCTTATCATGTGGTAAACAAAATTTGATATTTTTTAATACAACTGACATAATATACGTGATTTCACATTCACTCATTTTATAATATATAAAGAAGATGACATTAGGCCATAATATTGTTTGGGCCCAAAAGAATATTGTTGAGTCAAGTATAGGTTTATGCTCGGCCCAAAGCCGTTTCAAAAATACTATGGGCAATCTGGTGATCCCGGGCCATTCAGCAAGAATGGTCGAGTCCTATCACAAGAAGGAGTAGTTCAGATAAGCAAAGGGGTCGAGTAAGTCTTAGTGCAATTAGGATTCTCGACCAACAATGAATAAAGCCTCAAAAAGGGGTGAGTTCAAAGTCCTAATGGGGGTAGGGTTGGTTGAAGCAGAGTTGGAACGGAACAAGAAGTCCCAATCCAGATATGACGTTAACTCGATCTCAAGAAGGATTTGGTGCTATAAATACAAGATATCATGCAACAATTCAGGACCTCCAATTCAACACACATCTGCCCTGCGCAAAACCTCTCAAACATCTTGAGATTTTTTATTTTCTTTTTCCCGCTGACACATCTTCAGTTTGGATAAACAGCACTGTTAAGGCAACCGGTGAACACCTTTAGTTTGGATAAACAACACTGTTGCCGTAGAATCAGCCGACCGAGGAGCACCTTCAGTTTGGATAAACAACACTACATCGAGGTCGACTGGTTACCTATCCAAGTCTCGGTCAAGAAGGGTTTTTGAATCCTTATTGACAGAGGTCATTTTATTAGCCTTCTCGGCGAAGTAAGGTGTTACGAATTACGACATTCGGCACATTGAACACCGAGTGATTTTATGATTGGATACTCACGAGTGAGTTTCAGAGTTCAGCATGACGGTCGAACCACATTCACCATCAAGACATACATCACCTTTGAATATTTGTGTCCGTATAGTCTGGTGTCGATTCGACGTGCTTATACTATCACGAATATAATCACTATAATCGAATTCGGCGCCGACGATTTGTGAACTTCGTAGAACTAGTAGCCTCGTCTTCAGGCTCGAGAATTCAAAGGCCGAGATTTGTTCATTCCTTGGCTGCAGTCACAAAATAAAAAAGTCAGCAACGCGCTCAACGCAATATTAACAAATTTTACTCCTCGGCCGACAAGTTGGCACGCCCCGCATTCAATCGAATGACGTAGTTAGCTTATTAGTTACTCGGCCTGTGCGCCACGTAGGCTTTATAATTTTTAGGGTCAACAAATATCCTCATCATAATAATGTTTTTGAGTGTGGCAGTTATATCATGTACATGTGTTATATAGTTGATATTTTGTGAACAGTGAAATTTAGAGGGCTTGGTTTAGCGGATAAGAGTATGAAGCACACTGTTCAAATTCATTTGTTCCAAGATCTTAATATGCATAGTATAAAGATCATACAAATTGGATGTTTAATTATGATTTTATTGAGTCCAAAGTAGATATTCTTTTCACATTTATACACTAAAACACCAGCAGCTAGTTACTAGCTATATGAAGTTATGAACAATGATTAATGATCACTTGTCAGCACAAATTAATTAATTAACTGATACTATATTAAGCCTTATTGGCAACAGAGTCGGCCTTGAGGGTAGTTGGAGTAGGCGGCCGCCTAAGGCTCTCAGTTTGGAGGGCCTAATTTTTCTATATTTTATATATTAATAACAACAATCAAGTCTTGTCTCACTAAGTTAGGTTAACTATATGAATTTTAAAACGTCATTGTGCTGTATGAATCCTAAACCCTTTATAATATATATATATATATATATATATATATATATATATATAAATTAATATCACAAAGCTTGTATCTGTTCAAACAAGAAGTTTATAGATTTTGAGTTTTTGTCTAAATACAATAGCTAATTGGATTGAGCGGCTGAGCCCAATATTTGTAAGATTTTATTGTTTATATAATTAACTGAATTAAAAAGCAAACTTGTTTTGTACGTGAAAGGTGAAACGTCAAGTGACTTAAACCTGTTCTTATTGACTAGGAAAACAAAGATGTCCACTTCTTTTGTCGCACTCCCCAAACTGCCAGACATCAAACCCTAAACGGCCAAACCCTTTGAATGGGTTAGCTATTTTATCAATTGAAAAAAATTGGTTGAAAAATTAGATTATGTAAACTTAATTGGTACATTTGCATCTAAAAAGGCAAGACATGTAATATTTAAGTAATGTTTGTACACTTTCTTCTTTTGGTATTAATCTTTAATGATATTTGATGTAGAAATAGATTTTTTTTCATGAATTTAACAAATTAATTTTTATACAATCATTGTGTAAAAGGTCAAATAACTCTAGAGCCTCATTTCGAAAGCTGGCGTAGAGCCCCCAAGTTCTCAGGGCCGGACTTGATTAGCAAGGCCCACTTTTCCCCATGCTCGGCACCTTCTTTCTTTACGACCTGAATCGGCTTAAACGTATACAATTTGGCACAAAATATGTAGTAAATAAGATTAACAACTTGTAATAACGTGATAAACCAATAGAAGTGCTCCAACTTCCCTTTGTTCAAACTATTATCCGGCAGCCAGTTCGATCCATTAGGACCAGCACTAAACTTGTGCACCAGTGACACCAAAAGAGTGCTCGCATAGTTCCCGGCCGAGGTGGAGGTCCAAAACAGCGCGGCAGCTGTGCTTCTCATGCTCTCCGGCGCCTGATCATAGAAAAACTCGAGCTGCCCAATTGACATGAATGCTTCAGCCATCCCATGAAGGGCATACTGAGGAACTAACCAAAACACTGAAATGGGGATTATGTCATGGGGATGATCGATCAACCCGTGTGCAAAAGCCGCCTTTTTTCGCTTCATTTCGACAAACCCGGCGACCAATGTGGCAAATACCGAAATGACAAACCCTATTCCCATTCTGTGGAGGAATGTTATTCCCCGGTCTAGCCCGGTGAACTTTCTAGCCACCGGAATGAAGAGGCGGTCGTACAATGCGATTGTGGCGAGCATAGTGACTACGGTGAAGACTGACATGGAGCCTGCAGGGATTTCAAAGGACTTTGTGAGGTGCCTGTCCATGGTTTTGGCTTGTTGGAGTGAGAATGTGCCTTGTTGGGCATAGGCTGTGATGAGGAGTATTCCTGATCCCCATATAGGTCCCATTCTGATCACGCATTTCAGTTCTTCGACGCGATGAACGGTGCTGGTCCTCCATAGGTTTGGTGCCTTGAGATTGTCTTCCTCCATTGTGATCGCTGCCTTGTCAAGAAATCTGCATTATTCATACGTAATTACGTTAGGGTTTAGGGTAAGGTGATTAGGTTATATGTTCCTCCTTTCTATATATTTGTTTGGGTTGCTGTGGATTGGGGAGGTCGGGATGACTCTGACACTCTGATAATGGAGTAGAGGAAGTGAGATTTCTGTTACTTAGCAACGATAGCAACACAAGTATATATGTGGTGCTGCTCATCCATGAAGGATCAAGGGACTGTGGTTCCTACAACCAAAACATGAATAGTGCATGGACAAATGATCTATAGTCAATATCTGCAACATGTTTCCACCGAACGACAATCGTGATAACTTGACGATGATACTAGAAGCTCAACTGGTCATCTCCATGTCAAAACACGGTTAAAAAGCAGGTTTGAGAGAGAGCTGACCTTTTTTACTTTCTAGTGGGTAGGTTTTAAAAATTGTGCCCTATAACACTGCTAACCAATTGGGTAATTATGTTTATCTTCTAAACTTACTATATGTTCTAAGTATATGTGTATGATCGAGACTTTCCTTAGCAGGAATCCTACTTTACTGTAGTGAAAATGTGATAAGGGCTTTCGTAAGAACCATGTATTTATCGTATAAGACCTTTATACTATATAGCAAAAAAAAAAGGAAACAATGAAATATATAAGAGGTTATATATTGTGAATACATAGTTCTTATGATGACTATCTCATTTTTCTACTGTAAAACGCGATGCTTACTATAAGTACTCTTATACTCTTATATATATAATATCATCAAATTCATGTTGTTAGATGGTGAGTTAGGACCACACATTTTGACAATAATCAACTTAACAAGTCGTTTAGAGTCACAATAAATATCCAACTTGAGAGAGGGGGAGAGAGAGGGAGTTACTTCATATGCTTAGTGTGAAGAAGCTTTCCACCCATAGAAATGGGACCGTCAAGTTCATCATTCTGATACAACATTCTAGGATCAGACACCATAGGCAGCTTTCTCTTCTTGTAGGCAGCCACCGCCACTTGTATCAACCTGGTAAACGGACTCCCCGCAGGATCCAAGTTCCGGTAAAGCGGGTACCCGATCACAAACACAATAACTGAGAGAAACATGGCTATAGCTGGAATTCCAAGTCCCAAACCCCATCCAACGTTGTCTTGAATATACACAAGCACAGTGATAGCCACTAGTACTGATGCCCCCATCACAAAGTAGTACCAGTTGAAGTAGTTCCACGTCTTGGTGGTTTGTTTTTCGTCATTCTCGTCGAACTGTTCCGCCCCGAATGACACGACACAGGGTCGGATTCCGCCCGACCCGAGTGCACCTAGTAAGAGGGAGACATACATAAATGCTAGCTGCCCCCCATCGGCTTCTTCGCACACTCGATCGTGGTTGCATGGGGGAGGTCTCAGTTGTGGAAGTGCTGCTGATACTGTTAGGCCAATCATTCCCTGGTTCATTGATTAATTGTACAAATAGAAAACTGAATTAGTATTTAATTAATTAACAAATAAAATTGATATTGGGTGGGCATAATATGTATTAGTAGAGAGAGAAAAAAATACAATTTGATATATAATGGAGGCAATGGTGATAGTCCAGAAGCGGCCAACATAAGCATCAGCAACGAAGGCGCCAAGCAAGGGGGTCAAGCTTGCAGTGCCACTAATGGTGGTGAGGGTGTTGGCTGCTTTTGTCAAGGGCATATGAAGCTGCGTTGTCAAATAGGTCATCATATTTGCTTCGACTCCCACCACAGCCAACTTCTCACAAAACTCATTAGCTACACACACACACACACACACACACAAAGGCCACAACAACAATACACTGATTACTATCATAATTAATTAAATCCCAAAAAAAAAAAAAAAAAAAAAACACACTAAATAAACAAAGAGATATAAGAAGTGACAATAATAGGACAATTTATGCTAATTTCTTCAAAATTATGGAAAGAAACTTCAAATTTGGGTGCAGAAAGATAAGCACACTGCTCTAATTAACTAACTTGACTAGCCTCGGGTCTTCCTCAAAAATTTGAAACCACTAGATTTTATTAGCTCTTACCAAAGATGAAGGGCATAGTGAGCAAGCCTCCCTTTTTCCTCGTAGCATGACTGCCTTTCTCCTCCATCTCTCCCATCTTGTTTTTGGTGTCTCTCGTATACTGTTTTAAGTATAAGTGACCAACGAAGCTCCATTATTTATAGGCAATATGATATGAAGGAAAGGATCGAGCTAGCAGTGTAACTTGTTAGCTTAGTTACGCATACTGTTTCATTTACGTGTGGCCACAAATGTGTGCTGTAATATTGATGATATTATTAGTAATCACTATATATATTTTTGGGTTGTTCTTGTTTTTGTTGGGCGGGGAAGGCAAATTGTGGCCTATAAAACTTGGTCAAAAAAATGGTGGAGTGCAGAGGTCTTGACAACTACCGAAACCAAGACAACAGAAGGTAGGCATGCATGCATGGATGGACACCGACGTGTATTCTAATTTACAGTTTTCCCAACTTGTCTCGTTCACAATTCTAGAAAGGCTTGTACGAAAAGGAGAGGATGGGAGAAGGGTTTAAATTCGGGACGGTTATTTCATAGATGTGATGTCGTCGTCCATTTTTAATCAGATATTTCGCAACAGCATGTGAAGAAATACATTGGAACGGTAAAATAAACTTCAGTAAGAACGCCTAACCACGAGACTGATCAAGCCACTCTTACACAAAACTACAATCTAGAATGCACGGATCCCACTCTGTGTGAGAGGCCTAACCAATCACGTGATCAGACTAACCTACTAAAAAAATTCTTGCCTTGCTTAGCTTTATAATTTTATATACAAATAGTTAACATAATATACTTGTGAAACAAGAAACTCGGAAGAGAGTAGATCTGCGAAGAAAGTTATAGCTTGCCATTTCTTGTACGCTACAGATAATCCGCATAATCCAAACTCCAAACTAAGAAGGGTTAATGTGAAGAAAGAAAATGCAATGGAGCTAAGGCCAGACGAGGGGTTCTTATAATCTTTTTCATTTTTTAGCTGACGGGTTCGACGACCGGTGATCTTCCATAGGTTTTAGTCCTCAAATTCATGCATGTGGTCTAAGAGGTAGTTGGCGGTTAATTCTTCGTTCTTGTTGCAGGCAAAGAACACCTGCAATACAATTGCTCGAGCGAACCCCATTGCTTCAAGCTGGGGGTGAGGAAAAATAAATCATCAATGAGAAGGAAAATTGTGTTCTCAAAGGAAACTGGTTATTTAACATAACTATATAACTACATTCCTATGCATTGCATGTGTTTTAATTAGAGTAACAAAAAAAAAAAAAAGGAACAACTTACACGTTCTATAGCTTCACGCTCCTCAGGACTGATAGCTATTGCCTGTGGCACTGCTGCATCCCCCAGTACGTTCCTGAAACAAATCGAACGGTGCACACCATAAACATACAAACGTTTAACAGATGTGTAACCAACAAGACACCTCTAAAGACTAAAATACTAAATCAAAGGTAAGATAATAAGCTCCTTTACCCTTCTCCACCTTCAGCAGGTTCATTAATCAGGCGAAGGAAGTCAGCCTGATGCTCACCGATTAGCCTCACTAGATTAGGGTTTTGTTTCCCCAACTCTTGAAGCATAGGCTGTGACAAGAATAACACAATGAGTGCCAAAAGAAGATGTTAATTAAATCACATTTGGGTGCGAAAGAACCTGCAATATTTGCGGATTAGCCTGCACCATAGATCGCAAGGCTTGGAACTGAAACAAAAAACACCAAATAGAAAGTTAAAAGAACAATTTTCTTTTATAATTTTTTTTAGATAGGAAACCGACAATGTTCAAGCATGGCTATGTACACCGATGTGCACACACACACACACAAAAGCAAACATATAGGCACTGGCAGAGGGAAGAAGAGAGGGAGATAGAAATGACCTGTTGGTTGTCACGTAGAAAATCAAGATTGCCTGCAGCACCAGCACCAACACCCACATTCGGAAGTTCCTGCTTCAACAAAATTCAAGTTTACTAAAAAGAATTCCCTACCATAATTTATTAAAGATTTGCATAATAAGCACCTGTGGAAAAAGGTTTAAAGGATTGGCATTAGGTCTGCTTGGAGGAGCGGATGCTGGTTGTGCTGACTGTGGAGGTTGTGCTGGAGGGTTTGCGACTTGCCCACCGACAGGAATACGGACTGCAGGTGGAGCTTCAGGTTGTTCAGGGATACCCTTCAAGAAATACGAAATTGACATCAAAAGGAAAAGACAGCAACAATTCAAGAGAAGGGATAACTGCTGATTTTGGTTCTGAAAATCACTACTCCTATCAACTTTTTTTCTTTCAATAATGCTACTCAACCTTGTTACCCTTGTTGAAAACTTAGGACATAATCTGGAAGGTATGTAACTAAAAGAGGGTAGATCAACTTGTAAATTTGTCAAATTTACAAATATCTTGACTTACGGAATAAAGATAGTCAATAGCTCTTGCTGGGTTGTTGAATGCAGCACGAAGAGCACGTACAACAGTATCCCTGTCCCACGTCCCTCCACCCATATCTAGAATTTGCTGAATTGTTCCCTCCAAGTTAGTTCCAGCTACCAGATCAGATGCTGCTTGGCCGTAAGAATCAGCTTGTGAACTGCTTCAACAATTACACTGAACTATTTTAGACAAGAAAAAAAAATATGCAAAGCCAATGAGGAAGGGGTGGGGGAGAAGCAAACAGAGGTAATACTAAACAGATGAATATGAAATCCAGAAGCCCCAAATTTCAAACTGGAGGCATCACCAGAAGGAATAATAATACTCACTCCGTGGTAGCCGAAGCAACAGGAGCAGGCGTGGCAACAGATGCGGGCCTGAGAAAATAATATAATTACAAACAGAACATGTATAAATAAAGATGAACAACATGCTGTTGCTACACCTTACACACATTAAAAATAATGGCATGAAAGATCTCAGACTCACAGTGTTGAGGCTGCTGCTGGAGCCGGACTTGCTGTTAATGTCGCAGTTGGGGCACCAGTATGTGCACTTGGCTGTGGTGCCTGCACAGATTTTAAAGCAAGCATTAGGTAGAATATCTTCTCCTGAAGAAAAGCACGAAGGAGATAAAATTTACAATAGAAAATCAATTTGAGGGTTTCAACTTTTTAATATCAAAACAAGTCATCCAAGTTTAACCGTGTCTTAGGTATAAACCAATGAAAACAATTACAAGAGGATGAAACTCTTACCTTAGTTGTAGCCGCAGTTGATGCACCTGAACCTTCACCAGGTGGGCTCGTACTCTGGCATTTTTAAGTATACAAAGTCAACAACTAGTAAACAGGAGTTGAGCATAACAACAACTTGTCACCATTCAACCTTTTTTTTTTTTTTTGGTAGGAAGCTATAGTCAGATTCTAAACAGACAACAGAAATAAGATTGGGCAACATTATAGAGCCTTAAGGTCTGAGCTGGTGGAAGAAGGAATTTCAACCAGACAAATAGTTAGCATAAATCAGATGTGAAAGAACCAGGGTATTCACGATGACATCATCAACTTCAAGTAAACAAAATTTACACTAAAGTATTACTAGATTTCGCATAAATTATACGTGAAAGAAACAGGGCAATCACAAGACAAGAATACGACATCATCTCAAAACAGCAATTTCAAAACTATTGAGTGCCATAAAACACAATACCTCTTCATGAATGCTTCTTTACCAAGACATCAGCTATAATACAAGGATAAGTTCTGTCACTGCTTCATTTATTTTTACTTTCAGAGCTCACTGTCACTACTAACTGAATAATTCAATAGAATACGGTCTCAACAGGGCCGGTTTGAATTCTTATTTTAACACCCATATGCTTGGTTTGATCCCTATTTCCTGATGCTAAAACTATGTTTTGACACAATCCAAAAATACACGTTATATATAACACACCATGTCGCAAACCGACATGTTTCCTACATGTTTCAGGAAATTTTTATTCGAAAAGGTATTTTAAGACCATATTTATATGAAGGACACGCCGCACTCTAAATTGCTGAATAGAAAATGAAATATTACCTTAGTCAACATTATTACAACAAAGCTATTTTCCGCAACTTTATTTTCGTCCAGTGTTGTGTCATCTTTAAGCACTTTTCCTTGATGAATTAGCATCTGTTGTGGAGCAGGGTATACATCTGAACCCTTAGAAGCTTCTATATGTTTCTTCACATCAGCAACCTAGAAAGAATAGCAGTTAGTCACGATTATGGTATCTTCGATCAAGTCGTCACTCGTCAGCGATTACCGCGTAGCAGGAAGCTAAGTAAAATTACAATTTACAACTCCACTAAACCACATTTCCTACATTTAGAAAGCTGAATGCTATCCCAAAGTCTCCCATATCGCAGAATTCAGAAATTTCAAAAAATAACGATAACAAAATTTAAAGAAACATAAAAAGGAAAGATTAATTTAATAAGGGAAACAAACGGATATTAGTAACAAAAACCCTAGAAAGCACTCCGATTACGATCAATTGCGCATTAGTTCATGCAAATTAAGAAATTAACACGAATTTTAAAATTGAAAAACTAAAATGAAGGAGAAGGTTCGAGGCTAACCGTGTCCTCAGGCTTCACTTCGACGTCGAAGTGGGAGCCCTTGAGAGTCTTGACGAAGATCTTCATCTTCTTCTCGACGGAATCGCCGCCGTCCTTACAGTATCGGAGCCTGTGATCTGTAAAGGGTTTCAGAGAAAGAAGCCGAATGCGCAAGTAAAGTGAAGCAGGAGCTGGAAAAAGTGGAGAAAATTCCCAAATTTCTGGTTTATATACCGGGGCCCCCGGAGCTAATGCAAACGCGCTGAAGGGAGAATGTGAAACGCGTGCGGCTCAGTATACGTTGGATTGCACGTGAGCGGTTGAGATGGGCGCGTAGAGTTAGAAATAGTAAAGAGGGCGCATTGTCTGTTTTGAGTGACAGGTGAAAATGGCGAGCTAGATTTTTGTGTTTGATTGTGTTTATCAGGCTGTTGCAAATGGAACTTCAGATCACCGTTTGATCGTCCCATATCATATCACCGCCGGTGTGGGCCCTCGCAGGGTATTTTAATGATTTGTCAACTCATTTAATGTTTTAACAACCTTAATTTGATGTTTTAGTACCTTAATCACGTTCCTCCTTTGAACAAATTTGGTAATCACATGTTTTAAAAGGCCTCATGACAAGTCCACTATTGTATTATTTTGAGTCGTCTGTGTACTTTTTTTCCCATTATTAGTTCTATTTATTGCAACGTTACAGATATCGCTACTTATAGTATTTAATAAAATCGAAAAATATGAAGAAAATATTAAGAGAAAACAAGGAGAGAGGAATAAGAAGTGTGTTGCCTATATGTCAGTGATTGTTGTGCAGTCATCGTTATGTACGGCCAAATACAAGGAGTTTAAACTGCATTGATAAAATGTCGCATACAACGAATTTTCCCAGATGTGGCGGAGGCTGAGGTACCGTTTGGTACTTAGACGGATAGAACCGAACGAGACAGGACGGGACGCAACAGTGATTTCATGTTATATTTGGTATGCGCAAAACAGAATGGAAGAGTTGTTCCGTTCTACGTTTGGTGCACATGACGGATAACGGAACGAAAAGACAAAGAAATCAAAACAAGCTCAATAGGGGGTGTGGAAGCAGATAAATAAAGGCGGATCTTTGGTTGCAGATGCAGTATTGGGCAGATCGAAGCACTACAAAATACAAAGAAATCAAAACAAGCACTACAAAATACAAAGAAATCGAAACAAGCAAATCATAAAAGAATACAAAGAAATTGAAGCACTACAAAATATAAAGAAATTCAGCAGAATTAGGAACTGGGTGTTAATGAAATCAAAACAAGCAAATCATAAAAGAATAATAATGCCACTTCAAACTTATATCAAAATTAATTAAATGACCTCCTCGAAGCAATTTTTTTTTTTATTTCCAGTTGCAGATGCAATATTGGGCAGATCGAAGCACTACAAAATACAAAGAAAAAGAGACCGAGAGGCTACACAATCACAATCAGATCGAACCTGGAACGGAGATGCAGAGCTAAAGTTCACAGAGAGGCTACACGGAAAAGGACGAGGAGGAAGGTTGCGAAGGGGAGATGCATAGCTGAAGAAGTTCACAGCGGCAGAGAAGAGAAGATGATAGTTAGAGTTTGTTGTATGATTTAGATGGTGTAAATATTGAAAAAGACAAGGGGTATTTTTGTCTTAAAATGTTAAAAATTTGTGTTCCACAGAGGTGGAACAAGTCGTTCCAGGGGGGAGGCGGAATGAAAAATCACCCAAAACTTGTCCCGTAAAACAGTATGTTCCACCCGTTTTAGGCGCACCAAACGTCGGACTGAACATCTCGTCTCACTCTATTCCGTCCCGTCCCACTTACCAAACGGTATCTGAAGGAATGCATACACCCCTTCTACTTGTTTTCCACTTTTTAAGCGAAATCTTATTTTTATTGTTCAATAGATTACTTATTTTTGCTATTTAGTATTGGAAAGTTATTGGTACTGAAAAAAGTTGAAGTTCTACCATAAATCAATTACTAATAAAGAAAGTAGCCAAACTTACTTAGAAGTTCATGCAAGGTTTCTTTCACACATAAAAAATGCTTGGGTCCTACCCTTGAGTACACCTTTGTAGAATTATTAGAGAGACGGGCCAAATGGCAACTTCCAACAACACCAATATTGTCCCCAACTTGGTAATTACCACATGCACAATCGGTTAGGTGTGGAGTTTTATCACAAAAGGCCCCAGTGCTAGTTGGAGTGGGGTTAGAAAATTTAAACTCTTATTTTCTCATTGATATGGTCGATGTGGTACATTTCAACCCCTTACTTGGGTCACACGTGGAAGATCCACACATCAACAGCCACATAGAGTAAGGGGACTCACCCAGTCACCCTACAAGTGAGGTCAAGGGACCCACCATCATCACGGGGGGCCAAGGAAACTCACCCATCACGTGGCAGTACAATATGGGTCCGCTCCCTGTCTCTTATACCATGTAGAATTATCAAAGAGACGAGCCAAATGCGCACTTCCAACAACACTGATATTGTACCTAACTTGGTAATTACCACATACACAATTCATCAGGTGTGGAGTTTTATCACAAAATGCATCGGTGTTAGTTAGAGTGGGGTTAGGATATTTAAACTCTTATTTTCTCATTGATACAATCGATGTGGAACATTTCAACAACCTTCACCATTTAAATTAAGAGACTTTTAACTAAACACTCCAAGTACATTTCATTTTTAACGAAAATGACATTTTTACTCTAAAAAGTCACTCCTAGTACTATTCACTTACAACATTTTTTTTTTGTCATTGTGATTAAATCTCAAAATTTTCAAACATTTTTCATTAGTTTTCCTTTAAATTAAACAATTTACAGTACATGTCACAATCATTATCATACATTTTTTTAATACACGGTGTAAATATTTTCTGTGCATAAGTATAAGTAAATTAAGATTATTCGGTCTTTTTTGGAACAAAGATTATTTAATCACTCATATATACCAAATAATGGACAGCTCAACATAAAAAATATTCATTGCTGTCAAAATTGTCGATTGTTTCAGTTTGAATGAATAACTAAATGATTTTCTATTCTTTGATGCTTAACTCTTGAAAAATAATCGACTCCGAATATGCCTCACACAATTTTCATGACATCATTCAAAAAAAAAAAAAATTGAGAATCGTATTACATCATCCCATTGAATCCTCAATACATGCCCGCCTTGGAAAAATATCTTCGTAGTATTGATTTGAATCATCGTTTCATCTCAACAGATTACACAGAATTTAACCGTAGCATTGACTTAAATATATAACAAGTTCTTATCCTTGAAATCTATTTAAAGTGAGATTTATATTATTATTTTATAAGTTTAGAATTCATTATTCACGAAATAAATAGAGTGTAATTGTAGTACTAAGCAGTTCAAAGTGAACAATTATAGCATCCCAAATAAATTATCATGCAGACGGTTCACATGATTTACAAATTTAATTGAAAATTTTAATCTGCCTAACATTACTTTTTAGGAATAATAAAAAAAAATCTTACATGTTAACCGTTTAGGATCAATAACTAGCTTTTTAAATCTTTCACAAAACACTTGTTCTCTCTTACCATCCTTCTCGAATTCCGATCTCACGAATCTCCTCCTTCTATCGACGGCCTTAACATCTTTGATGATGGAAATTTATACTGTAAAAAATCAAGAATCATGTCCTCCAAGCTAGTTGTGTAAAAAGCAATCTTGCTTAATGCTTGAGTAAGATGCCAAGAACAGATCCCCTCGAAAGGGGGTTCAAATTAAAATGACCATCATTATATAGGACAAAGATTGTCTCTTCCATTTTCAATATCCATCTGTATTCTCTTATTTTATATGATCACAGTTAAATTATACTAATATTTTATATTATTTTTTCATAACAATAATAAAATAATAATATATAATAATATAAAATATTGTGTTCCCATTAAATAAGCGAACCATTCATTTTCCATTTTTATTTTTCTTTTGGCGCCAACGAATTTCTTTGTTACTTTTCCAATCTTCCTTCCATATCAGGCTAGAGTCCTACTGTAACGGTCCTACATATATTCTTTTCACCATTCCTTTTCAAAAAAATTAGAAAAAAGGGACAAATTTACAGATCGGTCCGGCATCATATTCCGTCCAACCGACGCCGTTTCTTTAAGCGCTACTGCGCCGGCAGTGTTTCGAAACGCCACGAAAACTCGCCGTAATCAGCCGAGTCAAAATACACATCGTCGTTTACGAACAATCCGTCAAACGTACTCGGAGGGGGATCGTCGAACTGCCAAAACTCGTCAGCTCCGGACGTGTCGGACGGAACTCGGACCAACTCGCTCTCTCCGCCTTTCGCCGCCTCCTCGCTGAAGTTCTCCGACGGGGGCAGGCCCAGCTCGTCGTCCGAAGCTTCTAGAAGGTACCCAAGGTTTGGATTGGACTCGGCAGATTCCGACGTCAAGTCAACCACCGGCACCGGAGCCGGCTCAGTCTCCGATGCCGGACGCGGCGACGACCGGCAAGAAGTGGTTGCGGCCGCTATCTCTTCCTCGAAGCTTTTCATGACCGAGTCGAGGTCCTGAGTCGTGGGATCGGCGTCCGAGTCGTCAAGGAAACCCAGTAGGTCTTCCCTGAGTCGCTTCACCTCGGCTGAGTCGTGAATCGAGTCGTCCGAATTGTCTCGGACCCGCTTCTTGCTTGTTGGGGTGTGGTCCTCCATGTATGAAATAATACCAACTGCAAGAGAGAGTGAGTTTTTCAGATGAAGCGTGTGGATGCGGTGGTGGTGGCAAGGGGAGGAGAGAAGGATTATATAGGGAGACAATGTAGAGAGAGAAAGTAGAGAGAGAAAGGAAGAGTGTGTGTGGTGATGTGACGCAGGAGCGCGTGGGTTCGAATACTTAGGCCATCACGGACGCCTTGCCTCTTTTTTTCACATTTTTATTTGTTTGCTTGTCTTTTTTTGTTGGTTCCTTTTTTCCGGATCTGTTTTTTATTAACTCGATTGAATTCCGGTTTGGAGTCCGGTCAGTTGTGGGTCCCACCAAACATACTTTCCATGGCTCGACTCAGCTGACTGAAAGACTGTGGTTTGATTGATTTTTTTTTGGTGAAATTTGTGGTTTGATTGGTTTTGCTGTGGTTGTTTTATTGTTTAGCATGATGTTTACGCAAATTGGATCCCATCCGGATCCAGTGCTGCGATATTTAGGTTTTAATCATTCATTGCGTATTGTACAATTATAAATAATTTGATTTTTTTATTTAAAATTAAATACAAATAGTATTTGATAAAAACTGACCGTACGATGTATGATGAATGACTAAGATGTGGGGATCCTAATGGCTAAGTTGTGGTGATCCTTGGGATCCCCACAAAGTGGCTCCGGAGAGAATCCTCTTCCGATTTCTACCACTCGGGTATATTGGTAATTTAGTATGGCATTGTTCCATGTTAATTATAATATCGAAATTTTTCCGAAATGTCTTATGATTTTGTACCCATTTTTCAGTTTATCATACCAACTTTCCGAAATCATCAATTTGTTATCTTACCCTAACTCCGTTAAGTTTTTCATCCAAAATAAGTTATGTGCCTCGCACATGACTTGTGTTAGGATTATTTTTGTCATTTTAACATCTCACTTTCTTCTATTAAGTTGCATTCGATCAAAGCAATTATAGGGTGTTTAGTTCAGCATGTCATGAAATCAAATTTTATATGGGGCTATGTAATATGAGAAACGAGTTGAGGTTTGATGACATAAATGGAGTTGTAGATGCATATATGTTGCTCAAACACAACGATCTGCATGAATATCCACAAATACAAAATTTAAGGATTTTACTAAAGAAAAGTAAATAACTTGCAAAAAGATCTTAAATGATATAAATAACCTTAAACGCAAGTCATGTGCGACTTATTTTGGATGGAAAACCTAACGGAGTTAAGACGAGATGATAAATTGATGATTTCGGAAAATTGATATGACAAATTATTTAAAATTAAAGTTGATATAACAATTTGAAAAAGTTGTACAAGTTCATATGACAATACAAAATATTTCCCTTATAATATTATATTATGCATAATAGGCTTTTTCACACATGCTTTTATTGTTAATTTATGATTATTTTATTTGAGGTGGCCTTGTAATATTTACGTCATCTTTCTTTTTCTTTCGAGCTTTTACCCCATTGTCAACCAGGAAAAAAAAAATCTCAAAATGTTAATTTTATATTGAAAATGTTTTGAGTGCTCAAACGGAGCCTTATATTATTGATAATTTGATAGTGATATTATTTTACTTTTAGTTGTGTAGAAGCACTGCCTGATGTTATTAAAAAAAAAGATCATCTCCATAATCCTTCCACTTAATCTTCTTTATTAAATAATTTGGTTATTTGAAATTTGATCCAATAACTAAAAATACAAGGCTACTTTAAAAGTTATAATAACTTTAACCGTTAAATCAAATTTTAAAGATCTGAATTATTTAATAAGAATGATTAGGTGAAAGATGTCCGGAAATGATTATCTTCCTTAAAAACAAAACGTTATAATAGTAGTGTGAAGATGTCATGGGAGTTGCCTTCGATTGCTTGACGATAGGTGAGAGAATGAGAATGAAATTATGGGCAAGTGCGAGGGTGCTTTTGGAAAAGTAGGTTGGGTGTTATGGAAATGAATCGATGGGATTGGATTGGGTCACCGGGGGTGGGATAAGATGAGACTGACCTTTTGTGGAAAGGGGCTTTGTTGGTGTGGGAGGGAAAGTTGTAGGTAATTCATAATTGATTAGGAATTTCTGGAAGAGCTTTGTTGGGTGGTTGTTGTGTGAGTGATGATGTTGACGGCCACCAAAACAAATGAATTAACGTAAGGGCCGTGGTCTAGTAGCAGACTAGTAAACGCCAAGGAACGCTATCTATGTATTAGCTTCTTGCAACACGTCGACGCGTATGATAATTGACTTTTTTTTTGTTTAATTTTTAAAATTTTTTAAATTTTACTCGTTTTAAAAATTCATCTTTTTATTAAAATATACTTTGAAAATAACGAACTTTTTTTGTTTTTTTTTAGATTTTAATGGGAGAAGGTTATTTGGGTATTAAGAAAGCTTCATTCTTTTGCCTTCTCTCTTTGTATAAATAGATATATTAGTGATTCTAGAAAATTATAAGGTTCAAATAAACATTAAAATTAGGTTTTGCTTATGAGTAGATGTTAAACATTTGAGTCGTCTAAACAACGCTTTGATAATAAACAGATAGAAAATTCTTGATTTAGACATCACTAATTCAAATCAAATGCTTAACATTTAAAAGTCTAATTCAGCCACCAAAACCACGCATAATTACTATCTACGCAAAACAAGTTTTACAAACTTTCAATATATTAGGATTCATTTCTCAAAAAAAGACATCTCATACTCATACCCATCATTTTGAAAAGAAAAAAAAAATTGTCATTCATTTAAAAAAAAAAATGTATCTTATATTACAAGGCTAACATATATGCCCACTCATAATAGACACCGAATGTGAATAAGTTATGTGTTACTCTAAAAAAACCAATAAAGTCAAAATACCTTAAGGCGTTCGAAAAGATTTGAGAATCCACTAATTAATTAGGAGCCTAATGGAGTCATGGATCATGCCGACGAAATAATTGAACAAAATATTATTTCGGATAAGAATATATTTCAATATCTGTAAATTTCTTGCCATGTAAATAAGAATACATCTTCTCCACAAACTAGTCAACAAATAACACCACTCATTAATTAATTAAGGTAGCATAATTCAACTTGGAGCGTCTTAGAAATTTCTTGAATCAAACAACCACGTCGACGAAGACATCCTTAGAGACTAGAAGAAAATTGAGATTTTATTGTAAAGTTAGTGGGGAAGAGGAAAGAGTAGTTCTACTTATTTATAAGCAATGTAATATCTCTCTTTTCATTAATGGGCGATTTATTTTTAACACGCTATTAACAGAATACTGTAAATGTCTGTGAGTTTGTAATCGATAAACTTTACACGTAAAATAATTTGACTCTAATACACGATAAAATGGCAAAAAAAATTTCGTGATCATGATCGTTCATCTTGCATCATGTGGTTATAAATCATTTAAAATTTAAAATTAAATATAAATAGTACCTAACGAAAACTGACCGAATTTATTTAGAGTTTAAAATTTAAAATTAAATATAAATAGTATTTAACAAAAAGGAGGCATATTGTCTGCCCTCCTGTTTGGATGCCCTTCCCATCCCTTCCTATTTTGTGCGGTCATGGTTAAGCCACGTCAACATTTTATATTGATTTTTTTATAGAGATAACAAGACAAAAAGCAATAGGAATATAAAATGTTGACGTGGCTTAACCGTGAGCGCACAAATAGAAGGGGATAGGAAGGTCACCCAATCAGGAGGGCAAACAATCTACCTCCTAACAAAAATTGATCATATAATATATAATGAACGATTATAATCACAGAATTTCTTAAATTCCAGAAAAAAAAATCTAACAAGGATCATTTTCCAATAAAATGAACAAGAAGGACAGCTTTCATTTAAGAGATTTTTGAAATTACATAGTACGAGCAGCCTGCAGTTGGTTGCGTGACACGTCCGAGTGTAAACGTACGTGCGTACACCAGCGGCCAGGCCTGTTTATTTAGCCGCTCCTCGATTAATACATTTTATCTTTGTTTCTCGTGTTTTGTTTGTCAACTTGAAGAAATTTTTTATTGTAGTACAAATACGAATGGTATATTACGTATTTTTATATAAATAATAGGTAATTTTATTTTTTAAATTATTAATTTTTTTAATACATATATTTTATCATTTATATAATAATATGTAAAGTAACCTATCATATACCGATCACACTGAAAATCCTAATCAACTTGCATTGGGACCCCTGCCTCCACGTTTCCACGTGACCGCACTTTCCATTATTTTTGTTATTTACTTGCTTTTGGCGCCAGATTTTTATTATTTGCTTTTATATTCTTAATAATTGTAGAAGATGGGAAATCGAGAAGGGAGTGATGCGTCGGCCACAGAGGGGTCGCACGTGTAGGTGGGTCTTAAGAGCAATCACATGATGCAGGGGCAGGAGGTCTAATCTGACCCCACACTACATTATTTATGTCGTGATTTTCACGCTTCGCGAGGACGAATTTGGAGTTGGGTGCGTGTGCCGATCGTGCCGATGAGGACTCATCAGATCCTAGTGCGCACAGTATTATGACGCCCATGAATACAAGAAGATTTTTTTTGAATTCATATTCTATTTTACTTCTCACATTCATTATTAATATCTATTTTTTGATTTTTTTTTAATTTAATCGATGCAACGGTTGCAAATTAAAACATTGTGTATGAAGTAAATAGAGGGATGTGGATAACACACCTTTCTTTTTATATCAATCAATATTATCCAGGACGAAAGAGGAGGGTAAGCCTCATAATGAGTTAATACATTTCTTTTGACGATAACCAAATTTAAGAGTACTTACTTATGAATGAAAAATAATACTTATAGGTCATAGTACTAAGCAGCTCAAAACGAAAAGATATGAGTCAGCACAGAAAATTATTAAGGAACGGATTTGCAACTTAAATAATTAGAAATATTTGCGCGAGTTTAGTTTAGGGAGTTCGGATTCTCACCGGATATTCTTTGTGAGAATTTTGGGAACCCGTGAATCATATATATTTATCGTACATCGTGCTGTAAGAAATCATTTAAATATTTTTATTTAAAATTAAACACAAACTGTACATG